TTCTTTTTGTCAATCACACGAACTCTTTTCCTATAACGAGAGTATTTGGACTTGGTCCCATTCTTCCTCACACGTCAATAAGCTAGTGATAATACGGGTATCATCGAAGTATCTTTGTACGTACATGTGTGTAGTGGCTGACGTCTTCCGTCCATCGATTACTGACAATGATATTTGATATTAATGGGTAAGTGGCACGACTTAAACAGGGTGCGGTTTAGTTCAGGTCAACATATGTACTTTTGTCTGACATATTATATATGAGTGGTTACTGTAGTACTCAGGTGGAAAATATTGGTATCTTACCATAGTCTATTCTGTTAAAAAAAAAAAATATTTCAAAAATTTCATTTTTCATATTGGAAGACAAATTGTTATCAAACAGTCTCATCGGTCTGTGGCATGAAGTTTTAATAAGTAGTGATCACAAAAAACTATTTTTGCCATCCCCAAGTAATCCGTCAATAGCCAGAAGATCGTATTGGTTATCAATACCCATAACATCGCCATTTCTATCCAGTCTAGATATATGTAGTCAGGGAGCTAGTCATACGCATTTTACTGAACGAGCAAGATATTTTCCTCCATTGTACCATCGGATGAAATTTGACTGCGACTGATCCATTTAAATTGCGTCTGCTAGCCGGATCGATAAATATTTAATTAATGACAATAACATTGAGATATTTAGTTTCTGAAAATCTTCGTGTTGGCATCAGAGAAATAGCAAAAGATCTCTTATGGATCGACTCAAGTAGAAGTCGAAAAATAAATGCTTCACAAAGTAACTGAGGATCCTGCACCATTACACATCATTGACGTGTTAATGAAAATAACGTCGAAAATGTCCAAAAGTCCAGCGAATGACGCTGCAAAAATAAGCTGAAACCAAAATCAAAGTCAAAGTTGGCCAAAAATCAGGCCAAAGCTTATCGTTTTGTTTGATTAACGTGATGTGATTCTGTATGAATTCATTCCACAGTATCAAACAGTCAATAAGGAATACAACTTGCCTGTTTTGACGCATTTGCGCCTAATGTAGATATCATTGGACTCAGCAATAACGCCGTTAGGTCTACATTTTCCAGGCTGGATAAGGAAGCAAAGCAAATGGGTCTGGTAGTGAACCAGGGCAGGACGAAATAACACCTGTCATCAAACAAACAGACGTCGTCCTTGGCTCCCACAGTCATAACTTTGAATATTTCGTCTATCTTGGAACCAGCATTAACACCAATAACAACATCAGCTTCGAAATCCAACGCAGAATAACTCTTACCAACAGGTGATACTTTGGACTGTGTAGTCGAATGAGTAGTAAAGTCCTCACTCGACGAACTGAGACCAAACTCTAAAAATGAATCATCATTCCCATCCTTCTATATGGTGCAGAGGCATGGACAATGTCAATATCTGATGAGTCGAAGTTACGAGTTTTCGACAGAAAAGTTCTGCGGAAGATTTACGGACCTTTGCGCATTGGCAACGGCGAATACTGCAGTCGATGGAACGATGAGCTGTACGAGATATACGGCGACATTGATATAGTTCACCGAATTAAGAAACAGCGGCTGCGCTGGCTAGGTCATGTCCGAATAGATGAAATCACTCCACCTTTGTGAGTATTCGACGCAGTACCCGCCGGGGAAGCAGAGGTGGAGGAAAATCTCCACTCCGTTGGAAAGACCAGTTGAAGAAGGACCTGGTATCAAAAATTTTCGCTAAACAATGAAAAGGAAAAATGACCGCAATTGTAAACTCGGCTATAGCCGCGTAGAGGGTGTCTACGCCAATAAAGAAAAACAAGAAGTCACTGAAAACTTACACAAAAAGTGCACAAAATTAGTAGCAATTCCTTAAGGTATTGATCTTCACATTACAGAGCACCCTGTTTAAGAAACAAAAATTAAAACGCTTTCAAACTTATTCATAAATAAAGCGAACATCTCAAAAACGAGACAACAAAACAAATCAGACAAAGGCCTATGCCTATGATACAATGGAAGTATGTGCAAACATACGAGTATAGGAGAGTAGGTGGAGCTCTATGGCGCTACTTGCCCCAAGTAATGCAATCAGAATAAACGCACTAGCACTCCACCGTGAATCCTTCGCGTTCACCGCGCTCATAATTAACTGCACGCAAGGCATATTTACCGTTGTAGCTAAATCATAACGTCGATAAAAAACGTCCCCCACACACTACGTCAGCGTGCAAGAAAACCGTGAGTCGCCATATTTTGCTTATGTTTTTGTTTTTTTTTTTCTTTACTTTCATAACTTACGAGGAACTGCCCCTCGTTTAGTGCGCAATGGAAATTCGGGCTACATGACAATAAATATATGTAAGTATAATGACAAATTCAACGAATGTTCCATTATACTTGGTATGCTTTCTTCGCTGTGCGCTTTGTGAAAATTGGTCGACGAAAAGTTTCCAGCGGAAGGGTCATTAAAAATTTACGAGTTATGACATGACTGACATATAAAAACTTATTTTTTATCCTCTTTTTTCCTGCGTATTTTCACCTGTTTATCAAATAGGCGATTTTTTTCTTTTCTTGCTAAACGGTTTATCTACCCAAATATATCAGGGTTCAATTTCAGGATAAACCATCTAAAATCAAGCGATTCATTTGTATTTCTTGGTCTTTCAAGTGAGAGTGGAAGTGAGGAGTTCTCTGCTTTAAAAGTGGAAGTTGGAGTCTCATGTTCAAAATAAATACGACCCATGGCATTCAAGCCTTAACTTCACAGAGTCACAATTAATTTATATGTATTATAAATTCAGTATAGGGCTCTTTACTGGAGTCTCATTAGTCCATAACTTTATATCCGAAAAACTAATGCTCGCTACTAAGAAACCACTCCAACTTTAGCCAAAACCTCACAGATGTCACGTAGTTGTCAGAGTAAATGTTGAGGTCTTTAAAAAAGATAATCCCGGGCTGACCATCATGCCTATTTTCTTAAGACGAGTAGCATGAAATTTATGTTAATCGTGTTGCTGAGAGTTCTAAAGTATCCAAGACTGTTTCGAAACTTATAATATTCCGTAATCTGATTGTGACTGGTTCAGAAATGAAGTCTGTCACCTGAGGGTTTTCGAATGTCAGAAATTGTTGCGGAACTTACATTAATCTGACTTCGACTCGAACTATAGAAATCGATATAAATGTATTTTGTCCAAATAATCATGAACGGAGTTATTGTTACGCTTCTTAGAAATTTAAATAGATAAACCTAAATATATACTATCGTATAACAAAACCACTAACACAACATTGGTATGCGCTTTATAGCAGCCAATGCTCAGAACAGAGCTGACAGGGGGCCTAAATTGTTCACATGCCACGAAAGGGTGGCTTGCTGCATGCAATCTCCTTGTTGTCGGCCGTAGTGCAAAGTAATTTTCTATATGGCTGTTGTTGCTGTTGCATACCTATTAGCGGAGAGTGCGCATTGCACACGATGTCCTTTCCGGTTTTTCCAACCCCACAATGAACGCCTGATGGGCGCACTTTAAGAGAATACACAAATTCAACCCTCTATGTGCTTTCATACCGATTGGGGTTATACTGTATGTACTCATATGCTTACATATAATATAATATATGTACAAGTATATACAAGTATGTAAATGACGAAATGGGAGGGAATTCCACAAGCGGAAACAATGTAAAAGTTGGCTCAACTTTAATTGCCACTGGTCAAAGTTTTGATGAGTTTTTGTTCGTGGCGCTGGCCAATGGTGGCCAACTTTGCTTTGATTGACAACAGAAGGGTGGCCTGACGGAAGCAAATGTCATCATAACACACACATTTACCTATGAAACTATGTAAATGGCTAACAAAATGGAGAAATTTAATTTATTTGACGCAAAAGTCATTAAAACTTTGGAATCCAGCTGTCCAAATGAATGAACCGTGTTGGCCAGGTTATTGAAATAATTGGTGTGAGATTTAGTGCTTTTCGAAAGGTGGTTGTCAGGTCATTGAATCCCATCTAACAAATTTATGGGTTTAAGGCATACATATGTATCTAAAGTACATATTTAAAGTAAGTATCCGAAGTGTATCAGAAGATTGGCCTATAGGCTAAGCCATACCTGATGGTCTGTTAAAGAGGAACTTTCGTGGAAAATCAACATAGCCCAACCGAGTATTTCCTTCGAGAGTTACTCTACCCTAGCTTACAGAACGTTTATAAAAATTTGGTTGGGCTTAAAACCATCAAAACTCACGAAATCTTCCAAAATATAATACTCGTGGAGACACTTTACTTAGTTGTAGGTCAACCAAGAAGAAAAGTCGAAAGTTGCCTACTCAGTCCGAAGTAGCAACTGTTGGCAAGAGCTATTCTACGTTGAATTTTGAGGTCCAATAACAATGGAGTTAATGCTAGTTCCAAGATAGACGAAATTATCTATCACTTCGAAGTTAGACTGTTTGTTTGATGACAAGAGATATTTCGTCTTGCCCTCGTTCACTACCAGACCCATTTGCTTCGCTTCCTTATCCATTCTGGAGAAAGCAGAACTAACACCGCGGTATTTTTACTCCTTCGAAAAAGTCATCTGTTGACTATACATTTAACATAAGAAAATCACTGTACCCCATACCGAGTTTTAGCTGTCTTATTATCACTCAAATGTAGAATCATTTCTAACTCTGTCAGCTGAAAAATCATGAAAATCGATAGCCATTCGATCCAAATAAAAGCCCGTAAATCACCGGCGAATGAATAACTGAGATGAAAAAGTCGGTCATAAAATTCATTAGCCAACCGGAAGACCCTAATCCTTTGTATAAAACAGATAATGAAAAATAAAACATCCTCTCGGAAATAGAAAACATCAAAAGGAAAACCCTTGGAAAGTTTTTCGAAAACATGATACAATTTGTCCTGAAATCCTTAGTCTTTCTGCGCCTGATTAAAGAATGAGAAAAATGTTTGATAAATAATAGACACTTTATCTCTTTATAATTCCTAATTGCAGTGATCGCTTTCCATACTATAAATCGAACGACGATCGTTGGAAGAACTCAGTACGACATAACCTCTCCATCAATCCACATTTCCGCAAAGGACTCAAGGCGCCGCAGGGTGCCGGACACTTATGGACAATCTCAAGTGGAGATTCAGCAGAGAATGTGCTGGCCTGGGAACACGTACGACGCTTACAAACCACGATATCGACGAAAACTATCATTAATTCCCAATTTATTTTACAGAAGAAGCAACGCCTGGATCTGTTCTTCAAAATGGAGTCGATGAATCGTGAACGCCTGCAGCAGCACCAACAGCAAATGCAACAGCGTCAGAGCTGCACTTCGCCGCATCCAGATTGCCAACAACACCAACAACGAAAGCAGCAGCAGCAACAACAACAGGCATGCGTCTACGATGAGGCAGCTACCGCCGCTGCTACAATAGCACGAGAAATGCTGAGCAACAGCGGCGACGAAGGCTGTGGGCGGAATTCCAATAACTCCAGCGACAGCAACAATCAGAGGCTGGAGAACAATCATTTGGTGCACGAGTTGCCATTTAACGACCTGATGAGCGATGAGGAACTGCGCAAGACAGCTGGACAAATCTTGAATGGTATTCACCGCGAAGTGGAAGTGCAATCGGTAAACTCTATCATCAGTACCTACCACGATGTGCTGCTAGACAATGGTGAGTAGTAGCGCTTGGTTGTGTAAATGGAAAGAATACTAAATTTTTTTCTCGCACTCTATCTTCTTTAACCACCAGAAGATTACCTTAATCCCATACATAAGGATATTGCCGTGCACGAAAGTGGTCTGCGCAGCACAAATGCCACACATCTGGCGTCCAGCTCATACATACATTCCCACAACACAACGAACTCCCAGTATTATGTCACCGAAATCGATCCACTGGAATTGGGCATACAAATGTCACACCAAGTGGGCGCCGAGGAGGTGCTCTTCAACGATGAGTTCAATTTGAATTACTTTGGCTATAATGGCGCCAACGATATTGCTGCCTGACCGCCAGCGCCAACCAGAGCTGATAGAGCCACAAGTTGCTCAGTGCCACTCATCAGTGTCACCGCGGTGGCCGGACGTGTAAGTTCCATTGCGGCCTTAGAAGCAGGCACAGCCACAAAACTACTGGGTGCGCGGCCGATTGAACGAGCTTACGGCCAACAAGAGCAATAATCGATGGAGTCGTGTATTAATAAGATTAGTAACATATAGTATATGTATGTCAAAGAGGTCTAACAATCATTTCTAGTCATTAAATGTGAGCGATATTTATCTGTTAGGTAGATACTAAGCTCACAATTTATCAAAGATATATCTAGCAGTTTATTAGAACATTATCAAGTATAGGTATTAGGCGAAATCGGTTAGTGGTTAAGTATATATTTATTTGTTTTAAGGTCCTTTTGTGTGTATGAGCGTAACTACGCCTGACCCAGTCCGTAGCTGATGTTGACTGTGTTCACAGTTCATTCGTATTCAAAAATAGACGAGCCTTCTCGATTGTACTCCAGCAATGGCCAGCACATTTGTTATGTATGTCGGCGGTATAAGTGTTGGGATGCCTACCTTGGTTAGGTAGCTGTTCACAAGATAGGCGATGTGAGCCGGGGTGTTACCGTGGTGCAACTTCCAATCGGCTGCGATGTCTTGTCCGATCCTATTGACTCTTCGTTTGAGTCTCTTGAGGACTTCCACGTAAAACTTGGCGTTGACGGTTTGTCCAGAAGGAACAAATTCATGGTGAACGATGCCTTTGATGTCAAAAACGACAATGAACATAGTTTTCAATTTGGATTTACTCATTCTTCCGGTTGTCATCAGCAACCTCTTGCCGCCGAACGCTGCATTTTCGGCTTGCACTACTCATAGAAACACGTCGGGTGAAAATGTTTTCCTGACTCTCCAGGTATTCGGAGACAACTTACCAGCCGCTCGTTCGTTAGCTAGGAACGAATACAGTCGATGCGAAAATCAGTCCTCTTACTTTCCGGACAAACTCTTTCGTAGGGAAGCTTGGAAACATTGTAGGAATCTAAATATGTCCATTCTTCCGGAAAACATCGGATCAATTCGGTTTTCACTGTACTTTACTAAAGTTATAAGGGTTTAGTAACGAACGCCGGAAGAAAGCGCGATCGAGACGATCGAGTACTGCACATACATGCTTTAAATTTCCATTACTACTTATAGATTGTATGTATAAATATAATTAAGTTCAGCAAACAAGATAGCTAAAGTCGCACTTTCTTTTCTAATACATACAAACTTATGTAAGTCCGTAGTCAAGAAATAATGAACACTAAGTTTAAATAAACGATCAAGTTAAAAATATATGTATATTGTATCTTAATGCACTGAGAGTGGGTCATTCCCGATAATAAAATCAGATATTGACATTGAGGTCATGTAAGAATGGATTCGAGAAACCGACTTTTTCTACGAGTTTGGACCACAGGTATAACGATGTTAAATGGATGAGTTTGAGGAGGCCTGCAAAAGCATATTTGAATGACACTCTGTTGGTAGTTGTGCTTCGGCAGATTTTTGTTTCAAGTCGTAACGACTCGAGGTATCTGTATTTTAGTTCGGGTTACTATCTGTCGGGGCTTGGAAATCAAGACTTTGACTGAAGGTAAAGTACTGAACTTTTTCAGGACCTCAAGATTCATATAGTGGTTGAATTTCGGAAGGAACAAGAACCTAAGAGTCTTCATCAGTGCGGAAGTGTCTTTACTATGCGCAAAATAGCAAAAATATGAGAATATTGGACTCGTCTAAAGACAGATTTTTTCAGATTTTGGTAATACAGATCGGGAACTTTAAGACAGGTCAGCGACAAACATAGAACCTTGATGAGATAATTGAGAAGGAAACATCGAAGGCTCTGTAAATTTTATAGATAACGGATCAGAGTATTGAGGCTAGTTACTGTTGTTGCTGTCTGCATGTCTCTATATATCGTAAGCGAACTAGTCCCTGTTTTTGAGATATCAATCCGCAATTTTCTGCCAAGAAGTTCATTGCCGAAACCGCCGATATGGGATCACAATAACTTATAGCTGCTATACAAACTGAATGACAAAAAAAGTACCTGAATATACTATTTTATTTGTGAAGGTAACCGTCCTGAGTAAGCCAACTACTGATACCCATAGAATGCTGTACATAACCCCCAAAATAGAAAGCAATTTGAAGTGCGGTGTATGAGCTCATTTATATCTCAAATGTATGTCTTACTACAAATGACTGTAATACAATTATAATTTGATTATACATTGAAGTTGAACAATTAATCTTAAATGCTATATAAAATATTTTCATATGGATATCAAAAAGAAATAAGTATTGTTATTACTGTAGTGTGAAGCAAGTGCCCAGTTGGGCACTGCAACAACTCCCTCAACCGCGCAAATAACCTAAACAAAGAATTAATCGTCACTCTCTTCGAATGTGGGACTACTCGGCGAATATGCTGGACTGGTTGGGCTGTAGCCTTGGGATGGTGCCGTCGGCGAGTACATCGGTGATGTGGGCGAGTAATTGCGTGCGGTTGGTGTATATGTCGGCGATGTTGGTGAATATTTGGTGCTACTCGGTGAGTAGATCGACATATTGGGAGAATAGCGTGGACTTGTAGCCGAGTAGCTGGAGCCGGTTGGACTGTATTGATTGGCCGGTGAATGCTGCGGTGAGCTGGGCGAATAAAGTGGCGATGTTGGTGAGTACTTCGGCGAAGCCGGCGAGTACTGTGGCGAACCGGGCGTATATTGTGGGGAACCGGGTGAGCCATCATATGACGGTGATGGCGGCGAATAAGTTGGTGAAGTGGGTGAATATTTGACACCCGTTTGTGAATATGCCGGTGAAGCGGGCGAATAGTGTGGTGAAGCCGAATAATTCGGTGAGGTTGGTGAATATGATGGTGTAACTGGCGTATAGTTTGGAGATGATGGTGAATACGACGGTGACGTTGGCGAATAACACGGCGAAGTTGGTGAATACGATGGACTTGAAGGTGAATAAGACGGAGATGTGGGCGAATAACTTGGTGAATTTGGTGAGTAGTTCGAAGATGTTGGTGAGTAAGCGCTGCCCGGTGAATACATATTTGTGCCACTGCCTGAAAACGATGGACTGGATGATTGATAGTTTGAAGTCGGCGAATAGACTGGTGATGTTGGTGAATAACCGCTGGTCGACGGTGAGTAGCCAGTCGACTGAGGTGCAAAATTCGGTGTTGTTGAGTAACGTGGGCTTGTGGCCGGATACAATGGGCTTGTCGGCGAATAATTCGGACTGGTTGGTGAGTAATTCGGTGAAGCGGCACCCGGCGATGAAGCGGTATAATTTGGACTTGTCGGCGAATATGATGGTGAAACGCTGGGCGATGGTGGTAAATATGGTGACATCGACGGGCCAGGCGAACTAGGTGATGAGCCAGGATGTGCTGGGGACCAACTTGGCGACATGCCCGAAGCATCGGAAGCGGCTGATGGAGAGAAGCTGGGACCGCCCGGGGTCATGCCGCTCACTACAAAAGAGAATTGCAGTCAAACAAAATATGTAATTTAAGAATATAGTTTAGTAAAGGAACTTACTTTGACCTGAGGGCGAGAAATAGCGCGGTGTGCCGCACTGTACCCAAGGTGTCATGGGTGGTGTCATGCTAGGCGTAGCACCGGCGCCAAAGAACATTGCCGAACCGCCAATCATGCTCGAGCCCAATGTGCTCGGTATTTCAATGCCGTAACGACACTTCTCAGCATCGAGAAGCAAATCGAAACAACCTGTATTCGAAAAGGAATTATTATTTAAAGAATACTTGATTGTCTTTTTGTGCAAAGCTTTTCACTTACCCGTGCCCATACGCGGCAATTGACCCATAATAATGTTTTCCGACACACCTCTCATGGGATCCGTTTCTGCATGCGCGGCGGCATCCATCAACACGTCGACCGTTTCTTCGAATGAGCAACGCATAAGTGCACCAGTATCCTGTCGATTGATACCGTGACGTGTGATGGCCATCAAATGACCCTTAGCTGTCATTACGTCACACAACAAGGCCAAATGACGATAGTTCACGTACAAGCCATAGAACTGCAACACAGCATTCATTTCCTTTTCCACCGATTTACGCACTGCCTCTATGCCCAATACTTGGAAAATTTCACAAATATCGTTCGATGATGTACGCACTGGATCCACATCACGTTCAGAGAGTACTTTCATCATTGAAGTACCATCAGTTTCCAACAGCCACTCGCCAATGGCCTTAAATTCACCCGTCTCCGTGATAACAATACGTTTTTTACTGTCCGTTTGCGGTAAATGCATGTACACCTTGCCAATGGCTTCGATGCCCTGCAGTGTCATGTCCGAGAGCATATTCGCTTCAATACAACGCAAGAACATATCATCCTCCATTTTATCGACTGCTTCGTCTTCATCTTGGAACTTGGTCTCCTCGTTGTTCATGATACGTATGCGCAGCACCAATTTGTCAGCGTTGTCATCATTGAAAATACAATTCAAGTCGTCACCGAAGCCGGCGTTGATCTTCTCGGCAATCTGTTCCATAGTTAATTTTTTGTCGGTCATGCGTTTGCGATCCAACTCGATACGCAGCAACCAAGGCGAAATGCGTGTAGGATCGAAATCGGGCATCTCATAGTAGACATTCACGAATTCTTGATCCTCCGAAATGACGGTTCTCTGCGGGTCGGGATCGTAGTAAATTGCAGTGTTGGCTGTCACTTTACGCAAGGTGGTGTGTTCCAAACGACACAGTACATTCTTAGCTTTCTCGGCATCACGCGCCGCACCGCCAGTAAGGAATACAGTTAATGAGGGCGCTTTTGGTTTCTTCGATATGTTAATAATTTCCTTTAGACGCGGCACACCCAGTGTTACGTTCTTGGACGACACACCAGCAAAATGGAAAGTGTTCAGTGTCATCTAAAAACACATACAAATACACAAATTATTACGGTAACCAGACAATTTAGCATTGCGCAGGCGTGTTTACCTGCGTGGCGGGTTCACCCAAACTCTGTGCAGCCAAAGCGCCCACCATTTCGCCCGGGTTGGCTTGTGCCTGCTGGAAACGCGTTTCGATCTCACCAATCAACCATTCGAACGCCTCGGCTGAGAGACGGAACTCCTCCGCCACATATTTTGTGCACAGCGTGGAACGAACCAAACACTGGAACAACAGTGTGGCGTTCTCATTGGCTTGTTTCGAAAGATGATCATTGCCAACCACAATGACGCAGCGTTGCAACAGATCGCGTACACCGTTAATTACGCGCAGCGGCGACAAATCTGTGGGCATGCGCTTATTAATGTGGAAAATCTTCTGTACATTCCAAATCATGCGCTGCAAATTGCAGGGCAATACAACCTGGAAGATGTTAAACAATACAAATGATAGGCGTTCGCAATATGAAAGCAGAAAATTAAGACATCCTACCTTAGAATCGCCATTGGGGAAAATCTCACGCAATGCTTCACGATCGCGACACAGTTGATCCCACTCAATCTCCAGCTCGGGCAAGGCATTACCACTCTCGCTCAGCTCTTTGATCACATCGTCGGTGAACACTTTACGCATATAACGTTCATTTGACCAATCGAATTTGAATCTTTTCTCAAATGCTTTATTGGACAATTTGACAGTTGGTAAATTTTGAAACTCTACGGTTTCACCAGCCAAACCATCTTCGCCGTAACGCAACTGAATCAGCTGACCCACAGAATTACGCACAGTACCGTCGTAGTTGACCATAACCGACTCCATAGCCTTTATGAGGCGACGTTGAATATAACCGGTTTCAGCAGTCTTGACAGCAGTATCGATAAGACCTTCACGACCACCCATAGCGTGAAAGTAGAACTCCGAAGGTGTCAAGCCGGCAAGATATGAATTCTCCACGAAGCCACGCGACTCAGGACCGTAATCGTCTTTAATGAAATGCGGCAATGTGCGTTTACGGAAACCGTATGGTATACGTTTACCTTCGACGTTCTGTTGACCCACACAAGCAATAACCTGTGAGATGTTAATATTGGAACCCTTGGAACCCGACACCACCATAGCCTTTAAATTATTGTATTCAGTCAAAGATTTCTTAGCAGAACCACCAGTTTTGTCACGAGCATCGTTCAAGATACGATTCACCTGATTCTCGAATGTCTGACGCAAGGTATTACCTGTAAGTTTGAAAAGATTGTTAGATTGTAAACGAAATAAAAAAATATTCATCACATACCGGGTGTGGGCTCCAACTCCATATTGTGCGCTTTTTGAATAACGTTTATGACATCGTCTTTGGCTTTCTTGATGGCCATCTGAATTTCGTTATAGGTCTGCGGATCGGCAATTGTGTCACCAATACCGATGCTGTGACCCTCGAGCAATAGCCAATTATTAATTACAGTCTGAATGTTACCGTAGAAACGACCGGCGATTTCGTGACCCAATTCCAAGAAGCAAATATGCAGCAGTGAACCCGCCGATGTACCCAGTGTCTTTTTACATAAGATACCCATAATCAATTCACCATGTTCGACCATGACTTTAGTATCGCCAGGTGAGATCCACTTGTAAGGACCATCATCTTCATCGTCTGGATGTGTAGAATGTGTGCGTATCATGTTTACATTGCCCGGTATAATCAGTGAAAATAATTGTTTGCCCGTCCATAGTGGACGAGGTTTCAAAATACACGGCTGTGGCACTTTGCCATCCCATGTAGGTAAAAACATAAGCAAATTCATCATTTGTTCACGCGTAATGAATACATCACGTTTTGTCATTTTACGTACAGCTGTTAGAGTATCCTGCACAATACCCATGACGGGTTTGTTAGCCTATAAAAACCATTTTTATACAAAACTACAAACTGTAATATATGTATATAAAAAAATATGGTACGAACCTGTGGTGTGATAATTTGACGTGGTGTAACGTGTATATTCTCCACCTCAGCACGGGTTTCCATGGATTGCGGTACGTGCAAGTTCATTTCATCTCCGTCGAAATCAGCGTTGTAGGGTGAAGTACAAGACAAGTTCATACGGAATGTAGACCAAGGCAATACTTTGACACGATGCCCCATCATACTCATTTTATGTAGCGTTGGCTGACGATTGAAAATAACCAGATCGTCGTCGCGTAGATGTCTTTCTACTTTGTACCCACATTGCAAATGCAAATCGGATGGTTTTGGGTGGAAACGCAAATCTATACGTTCACCATTGTCACGTACAATATACTTGGCACCAGGATATTGTGAATTACCACGTCGTACTAATTCCTGCATACGATCGATATTAAAGGGAGTCACTAGCTCTGGAAATGTTAAATTTTGCGCAATGGAACGTGGTACACCGACTTGATCAATACGCAAATTGGGATCTGGTGTGATGACAGTACGTGCCGAGAAATCGACTCGCTTACCCATCAAATTACCACGAATACGCCCTTCTTTGCCCTTCAAACGCGCCTTTATGGCTTTGAGCGGTTTGCCAGATTTTTGCATAGCGCGTGGCATACCGGGCATGTCATTATCTACTAGCGTAGCGACGTGGAATTGCAACATTTTTATATTCTCTTGTATAACATGCGCTGCTGCGCCAGTGCCTTCATTCTTTTTCAATTCATTGTTTGCTTTAATGATATCCGCAAGTTTATGCGTTAAATCGTCCTGATTCTTAGCTGCACCAAACATAACAACAGCTGGACGTACAGCTAATGGTGGTACAGGCAATACCGTGACAATCATCCAATCAGGTCGTGCATATTTGGGATCCATACCGAGAATGAAGCATTCTTCATCAGTTATATGTTTTAAAATTTCCCAAACACGTTCCGCCGTTACTATGATTTTCTTTTCCTGTACGTATTAAATAAAATTTTTAGTTGTAATCTAATACAATAACATTCATTGGTTTTTATTGTTTACCTGCGAATCTTCATTTACATGCTTCCACTCGGCGGTCAACTCTAATCCGCTTCGTCTCAATGATGGTTGATAATGACCGCAACCCCCATGACCTTGTTTTTTATTAGGATCCGCTTGTTGACCATCTTTTGCCATATCCATATCTTCGCCACCCTCGCACACAGTTTTACCTTTACATAAATCATATACATACGCCAGACGCTTTCGTGGCTGTCCCTTTGATTTCATAACAATCTCCTTAATTTTTGGATTTTGTGGAGATACTAACATTTTAGAGCAGTAAAAGCACACACAACGCAATATCTTAATTGTCTTTGTAATAAAACCAATATGAAAAACTGGTTTTGCCAAATCGATATGGCCAAAATGTCCCGGGCATTCTGTCATATTACCAGCACAGGTTTGGCATCGAGATGTTCTGTCTATTACACCTTGACGTGGGTCCATTAGACCGCCCAACTTTGGTCGACCACCTTCCATGGTCTCGGCAAACTGTACGCCTCCTTCTGTGACGGACATGCGACGCTATAGTGTTGAAAGATAGCAATAATTATATCATTTAAAGTTTTAAGCTTGACTTAATACTTACAATTTCATCAGGTGATAAAATACCAAATTGCACACGTTTCACCTGGCGTAATGGTGCCTTGGAATCATTGGTCGCCATTTTTTAAGTTTAAATTTTTAGTAGGAAAATGTCTCTTGTTAAAAACACATAAAACTTGTAAAAAAAAAAAAAAAAAATTTGCTTTCCGCTGAAATCTGCAGACGTCAGTTGCGCTGCACTCGACACGATGTATCTCTTCTATAAAAGCCTCGTTCGTTATCGACGTCGCAGTTTCTTCTGGTGAAATTTGCAAATTTTTCATACACTTTTTAAAGTTGCAATTTCCACCTTTGCAATACAAAAAATGATGCGCACAAGTGCAGCAACACTTCAGCTGCAGTATTTACAAACTTTTGTTTATATTTTTCGAGATTTTATGGTATTTTCAAATAATAAAATTGCCGCACGCTAAAAGAAATAATCTTGCCCGTGGCGAAAAGAAGCGAGTGCTTCGCGCGAACCCATGGTCGCTATATTTATATGCGTCAAAACTTAAAGAGTTGCATATTTTAGTATTTTACTAAGAAATAGAAAAGATAACGAGATATTTAAAACACAATTAACATATTTTTAAAAAGAAATGTATAACTTGTTTACTATTTGGAAAAGATTTTGGTATATCTTTATGTAGAGAATTTAGCAAATTTGTATTCTCATAATAAAATACTACGTGATAGCAACTCTGCTTTTTTGCAATGTCGAGCGTTCACTGAACTTACCACTCAATAAATGTAAATAAACATAAACCGATCTAATAATATTTTTAGAACGAGATACATTAATTGAACTGCTTTTGCGTATTTATGAACATTTCTGCGGAAATGTCTGAAATTACACCAATTTCTTCTAAGCCGGCTATAGCCGAAAAAGACTCCAAATACAAAATGCAAGGTTTGAAAGTTTTTATTCGAATGTATGCATATTTAACCTTTATCTTCTCTTATGTCACGGCGTAATAGCGGCAGCCTTCCTTGGTCTGGTTGGTGGGGTATCTGCGATATTTGGATTTTCTAAAACACTGGGAAAAGCAAAACAATCTCATAGTAAACTGATAGAGAAAAGTGGACGAGATGCAGGTATCTTGCTTGAAGAGGGCTCTGCGCTGGCAATGCGCGCCTTAGGTTGGGGTACTTTATACGCATTTATAGGTACAGGAGTCTTTTGTTATGGTGTTTGGAAACTATCTGGGGCGAGAAATGTGAGCCAAATATGAAATATTCTTAACTTTACTTATCTATTTTATATGTACATAGATGGAGGAGTTTCGCCTGAAAATGGGTCAAGGTTTACCAAGATTAACGAAAGACTCGCCCCCCACAAGTCGTACGGATTTCGAATCACTAACAGATTTAATGAAATACTTAGGTTCAGGATGCAGGGAATAACTTTTACCTAACGGTCACATGTATAAAAATAAAAGAAAACTCAATATAAACGAAAAACTCAATATTAAGGAAAACAGCTCATACTGCTCAGTGCTTTAGAACATAACAAAAAATATGTAAAGTTAGACTTTTAGGTAAAATAAACCTTATTTTTGTTTATTTGCCAAATTTTCCTCGATTTTGCTTTCTTTTTTGATAAATGCATTGTGCTCGCATACCTCTAAAACATTTCTTAAAACATCTTGAAATTGTGCATAGTCTTTCTCCATAAATATATAGGCTTTCTGACGGAACTCAATTGATTCGCGTATAAATCTTTGTAAATCAGGTGCATTCTCCAAGTAGGCACGGTTTTGTGACGACAATATAGACATGTCAATAATTGGATGAGTCTTTAGTTTGAACGTCTTTAGTTGTTGAATGGAATCACGCCAGAGTGTACTCCACTCTTTAATCTCTTGTCGCAAATTCTCTTCATAGCTGTGACAGAATTGAAAATGCCAATGTAATTAATAATGTGTGTATACTGCTAACATACCTCTTCACTTTGCCATCTTCCTGATTTTCAAGGTCTGGAATTCGATTTTTTGTTTTTGTTAGCATAAGAGCAACTTATACTTGTGAAGATATGCAAATGCATACATACCATCATTTAATGTTATATTGAATATGCTTTTAGTGGCATTTGTGGGCTGTGATGCTTGATTGATTATAGACTCATCTAACTCTACAGTGGTTTCTGCTTCAGTATCGGTTAAAATTGGGGCCTGCATATTTCTATTTAAGAAGTTTAAAATGTATATTTTGTTTAAATTAAAATAAAATTACAGAACTATTGTTGCGCCTCTTTCGAACGTTCTTCTTCTTTTTATTTCTAATCGTTTGCCATTAAACTTTAAAGCGAAATTGTTTATTTGAGTTAAATTAAGAACTAAAACTTTATACGTCAAAATAATTATAGAATATATTTATTTAACAATTTATTAAAAAAAACTATACTATAACTATAGATATTTAACAATTTATTATTTACTTTTGAATAAATGAATATCTGCATAACTGTTCTCACCTTAAAAATTGTGACCTACTTCGCGACTCGTTCCAAGAAGGAGATTCCAAATATTTATTTGTAAATAAAATACAAAAGCATGGATTTTCGTATTTTGGAACTCTTTAGTGGCATTGGTGGCATGCATTATGCTTTTAAGAGTATGTATCTAGTGACTTATTATATATACTTTATTAGTCTCCTTGTTCTATTAGGTTCTGGATTACCTGGAACTATTGTAGCCGCAATGGACATCAACACACATGCCAATGTTGTGTACGCCCACAATTATCCATCTTCTCTAGTATGCAACAATAATATACAAAGTTTAACCCCTCGGAAAATAGAGAAGATGAAAGTAAATATGATACTTATGTCCCCACCTTGCCAGCCCCACACGAGAGTTGGTAATCGCTTAGATGTAGCTGATAACCGCTCAGACGCTTTGCAACATGTTTGCGATTTGCTACCACAATGCCATAACATACAATACATACTGATGGAAAATGTGAAAGGTTTTGAGGTGTCTGAAGCGCATAAACAATTTATTGAAACGTTAAAAACCGCAGGGTATCATTGGAGAGAATTCTTACTAACCCCAACCCAATTTGGTATACCGAATTCTAGAAGTCGATACTATTGCTTAGCACGTCGGAAAGACTTTAATTTCACTGGGGAATCTATTTTAGAAAAAATACCGAGCGAATGTGAAAATCCGAAAAATGAATTTAATGAAAAAATCATTAGTGACTTGATTGAGCCGGAGGAACTAACTAAAGAATATCACCTACCAGAAAAAATACTGACTAAACGTGTATGGTTAATGGATATAGTGACAGCGGAATCAAAAAAGACAATGTGTTTCACTAAAGCGTATACCCACTACAGCGAAGGTACTGGCTCAATATATACTCCTTTGGCTAAGAAAGATATGGATTTAATATTTTCTAAGGTAAAAGAGTTAGAAAATTCTGAGGGAAATGAAGATCTACGTACAGAACTTCTGAAAAGTTTAAAATTGCGGTATTTCACCCCACGCGAAGTTGCAAGATTAATGAGCTTTCCAGATTCATTCGATTTTCCAACAGAAACAACAAATCGGCAGAAGTACCGTCTTTTAGGCAATAGTATAAATGTTTATGTTGTTAGTATATTAATAAAAATACTATGCTCCTGAAATGGTTATGTGTTTGTTTTTTATATGCTGTTTTTCTACATAATACCTCAAAATATCGTTGTAATTATTAAATACAGTACAACTTTATTAGATCCTCTATTTATTAATACATATTCCGAAAATTATTTGAAGAAAAACTTTTCTAGAGTATAATTTACAATATACTTAAATTTTCATGGCAATTGAATGCATTTCGTTATCAAGTTGATAAAATATGAGAGGAATGCACAATTCTTGAAATGAATCACCATCTTAACACAATAAATTTTCTATAATTAATATTGGAAATATGGTATTTACATAAATAATAAGCATAAGTCTGCTTTTCTACAACAAATAGTATTAAATGTATTACACTAATTTAACCGTCCTTAAGTTCACTGCCCCACTCCTTTGCAATCATATATATAGTGTTTTGGTTCAATTTTGGTCCAAGTAGTGGATTCATCTGAGCCATGTAACAGCATAGCCAGAAAAGCCAGCAAGTCGCTGCAGTTAACATCATAATGCAACGAAAGAGACTTTGATTGGGTCCCTTTGGTGTCATCATTGGTACGCCTATGCCAACACATGCCCAGAATGCGGTGAAAAATAATACAGGAAAGAAAGCTGCTCCCATATCTTTGTTTAATTTATATTTTAACAATTAGTCTATTGACAAAGGAAATACTTTATCGCGTTCGACGAAAAAAATCAATACACAAAAGAAAACTACAATGACGTTGTCAAAAGAACAGAAAAAACTGTGCTGCCATGCTAGTTGTAGGAATCATGAGCGACAGATGGTGCTGCATTCGCTTTTGTGCTTATAAAAATAATGAATTGGAAGTATATTTTATATAAATATTTGTAATTAAAATATATGTATATGTCGTTGTGGCGAGATAAAATACCGGCAATCAATTTACAAACCTTAATTTATACTTTATTAGTTTAAAGGAATTTATCAGAACTGTTCCCAAATAAATATTGAATTACAATATTTTGTATTTCGAAAATAGTAAACTTTTTTTTACAATATTCTGTATATTACTACAATAATTTAATGAAAATCATGTTAATAATATTTTCTTAGTTTTTATTGAGTATTTTTAAAATTTTGTATGACGTTACTCCACTGTGGAGAAAAGCGGGCTTAGTGCGACTCTGTCTTAAGGCGTGGTTTAAATAAAAATCTGTCAAATCTATTTGTCATTTTTTAGTTAATTGTGTTTATTATATATTTGTTGTGATTGCCTTAAATTTATTTTAAAATCTGTATCGTCCTAAAGAAATCCTGCAACACATTTATAGAAAATGGAAACATGGAAGTTTTGCATTATTACCGTTGTAGCCATTTATTATATTGGACAAGGTAAGTCAGACCTACAGCTCTTGTCAAGAATTCTCACACTAATATCTACTTATAGTAAACTTCGTCAACAGTTTGGAGTGCTATGTTTGTTCCAATCAGACAGGTAACACAGAGAAATGTCTAAATACGATAAAAACTTGTGAACCAGGTGAGGATGCTTGTGGTACTGAGATCCGTTGGGGTAGCCAACCGTACTTCTCTCAGGGTGCACTAAAACAATACTATGTTTCTAAACGGTGTATGACAAAGCAACAATGCCAACAGCGACGTAAACGATATATGCAATACTGCACACATATTTGGTATGAGGACTGGTGGTGTTATGAGTGTTGTGTTGGTGATCGTTGTAATTATTTTGTGATTGTAAGTTGAAATAATATAAAATCATGTGCATTTGAAATTTTAAATGATATATGTCCTTTTCCAGAGCGGGTCAACAAAACAAAAAATAACTGCTAGAATATTAATCGTCGGCTTATTCTTAACTTCTCTCCATGGCCTGTATTCATTGTTCCAATGAAGAATATGTTGAAGATATACTAAGAACACCCAAGTGCCTCAAAGTTTTTACTTCTGCAAAGTAAAGATTCGTAAGAAACGCAAATTAAAAAAGCGTGCAACCCCATTAGAAAGAAAGTACATTAATACTTTTATTTAACTTAAATCCATACAAAAAATCTCTGCATTATTGTGTTCGAATATTATCCGTCCAAGTTTCACACTAAGCATAATGTTATAATTTGTTATTATATTACTATATACAACATGAACTCTTATAATTTTTACTTTTTTAACATTGGAATGTATTCATATTTAGTTTGTTAGCTGCAAAGTTAAAGCCACAAGCAAATGCAATATATATTCCATAATTTTTTAAAAATATTTGCACATAAGTATAAGGCAAGATACAAAATTATGCTTTAATTTGAGCGTGCACAATTTTTTACACATCAATAAACTCTTGTAAAGTAATACATTTGTATTCAAAATTATAAAGAAAATAATCATAATGCATTTTTTACTTCTATTTATTAAGACTAACCATTGAATTATGTAGTATGCTTTTCTACCACAACCGACTACCATTACAAAGTTTTTATGGCTCCACTAAGCTTTGTATCTTATTTGCATAGCACTCAATCTGATTTGTCATTGGCTATTATAACTTGGGCTCGGTTGTCACGTACTGTTTGTACATTTTCTTTCCCTAGCATTATTATTGCTTTATTTTCTGTTAGCAAATATTTTTTAAATGACTGGAACATTACTAATTCATACATTGTAACAACTTTTGACGGTTTCTACAACAATTGACGAGTGTTTGTGAAAAATAGGTTTACTGACATATTTATGTTTATATGTAAAGAAGAAGCAACGCGATAATCAGACTGACCGCCAAATTGTTTACTTTTAAAAGGGTAAATAAAAAAAAAATACAGTAAATGAAATTAAAACAATATAGCAATGCAAAGAGTAGCACTACAATCAATTTTATGGTTGGCTTTTTAAGTAGTTTGTTGGCGTAACGCACAGCAAGCGGTTCTACTTATGGATAAATTGGAGGCGCAGCCATCAAGTAGCCGGAAGCGGCAGACGAACCTGGTCGGAATGAATGTGGACTACCAACTGTAAGAGCCAATAATATTGTTAAACAATTACTAAAGTGCTTTCATTTCATGATGTAGACATGAAAATAGTGAGTCGGGCAGCGTTAAGAAACGCAAACCTTTGGCCGTGAGATGTATACACGTGCTGGCGAATGGATTCGTAAACGCTGTTTATGGATTTCTCAATTCGCGATTGCTCATATAACAACCGGCAAGTAGCAGCAACCATAGGTGACTAGGTATCCGCTAAAACAACAACAAAAATACATAGTGCTGCTGTGCGTTGATGTATTTACCTGTATTATTTGTTCGTGCAAATAAATAAATACATGCGTATGGATCAAATATAGGTACTTCATAAAATTATGTAGAAATGTTTAATACAAACTATACTCATTTTACCACAACGAGTTGTTTGAGTTTTTATTTATTTCAGTTATGAAAGTAGTCGATGTTTTAATACAATAATATATACAAACGTTTATCATAGGAATATGTGCGGAAATTGTAGCGTTGCCTTGGATAATAATACAAAAAAAAATCGTGAAGATATCTTGTAAAATTAAAAATTTTTCCATACAAGAACTTGATTTTGATTTTTCAGTTTGTAGGGCAGCTACATGCTATAGTTGTCCGATCAGAACAATTTGTTCGGAGATTTTAGCGCTGCCTTGGATAACCCTTTTCAGGGTATACAAACCAAAAAATCGAATGTAAACATCTACAAATACAAAATAAAAGTTAAATAATATATTTACGGCATTTATTTACTTTTCATCATAAATACATATCACATATGTAAATATGTATGTATTTTCTAAACTAAATAAGAAATTAAAGTAAATTCAATCAATCATTAAATGCAGTTAAGACTTAACACTGAGTACAGCAAAAACTGTATAATTTTAGACCATTTATGTTGTTGTATTATAATTATTATTTTCCTTTTTATACCGTAATTTTTAGCATTATTAATAGTAAATACGAAATTGAATTGGTTTTCGATTATCTTTTCATTCATTTATTGATAATTTTATTTTTACTTTTATAATTTGAAAAAAAAATCGCAATATTATATTCAAAGCTTGCGGCGCGACATAAATGTGTTTCCATTTGTAACAAACACACACTATTAATTGTCTAATTAAACAAAAACTTATTCATAGAACCTCTGATTATTTTTACAATCTCCGATTACAATAAAGTTAATCTTCAAATTGACAATTCGTAATACAATAAGGAAAGTCATTTCATAGCAATACATACATACAATGAAAATAAATCAAGCGTTTATTTTTTTGGTAGCTTAATTTACCTTTTTTTATATTAAAATTAATACAAAAAATATATAATCACAATTGCATTTTTATGTATCTTTTCATTAATGAAAAATTAAATATAACAGAAAGCAATTTTTTTGTTTTGTTTGAAAAATAAGAAGAAAACATCTTTTTAAAGTATAATTAATACGAGTAAAAAGCAACAAAACAGCTACATTATTATTAAAAATTTCATACATATTTCTAATTGTTGTTGTGGTATACGAGATTGATTGTTTGATTTGAATTGGTTTGATTGGTACTAAACTTCAGCACTGTCATCGGTATGTAGCTGCTTGTGTATGTGTCCGCAGAACGTGTATGCTTGTGTATGTGTGTATCTGAGTGTGTAGGGTTTAGCCTATAGCCTAATAACATGCTTTACAGCTCATCCTTATGCAGTAATGTATAACGGTTTTTCGATGGACCCAACTTCTTAAAACTCGATTCGGGCGGTGAAGTGCCTTTGCCGATTTTCATTACAACTTCGGTTTGCACTTCATTGCCAGATGGATCGGGTCCATAATGGAATTCTCTGTATACAAAAATAAATTCATATTAAACAAATTTTAAATTTTATTTAAGTGTTTTAGAACACACCTGTGCAATTTTCCACTGTACAAATCTTGCAAAAATTGCTTTAGTTTACCAGGCTGATACATATCTTCGAACTTTGGGAACATGTACATATGGCGGAATGAATCGATAGCAATCAATGGCAAGTCATCCTCCGATTTGCCCAAATGATGCAGAGGATGTGCAAATCGCTGGCCATCGGCGGTGAGGAAATTAATGTTCTCTGAAAATAGAAATAAATAAAAAAATTGGATTAATTGTTCATTATATATATATGTATATTATGTTCCTCACGTTTTTCATCCAATAATTGAGTTTCGATAATCGCCTTGTAGTCCTTAATTGCCTCGGTATCGTCGGGTTTATGGAAGAGTATCAAAAATGGCAAGCCCTCTTCGGTCAACTCTTCTGCGTTTTCAAATGTAATTTCACGCACCAAGGGCACACATTTTTCTTGCACCCAAATTTTCAGCTCATCAAAGTTTTTCAAGCTGCCGGTATAGGTTTCATCGTTTTCATGCGAGAGCGCAACATCGGGACGGAATACAATGATCGGGTTGCCTATTAATAATTTAAATCCAAATAAATATTAAAGAATATAATAGTACTTATAAAAATATGTATTTAGGTAAGCCAGCGCATATAACCAGCACAAAAATTATTCGGTGTGTTAGGAAAATAACAATTATTTTTACAGCACAAATATTGTGTATTTTTCGGTAGTATTAGTAATAGAACTTATTAGTTTCATAAAAAGCTGTAACCCAAAACCTTTGAAAAACAAAAAAATTTGTTATATACAAAACAAAAATAATAAATTATGGAATAAAAACAAAATTTACCTAATATAAAATTGAAAATAGCATTACCTCGCTTTATATCACTGTCAGCGTCCACAGCTTATAAAAGTTTTGAAAAAATTAAAAGTTGTTATTGATACATTAATATAGGTTAATGGCATTAAGGCGATAATAAAGATTTGAAACAATAGACGTTCAGTTTTTTGTTTTAGAAATAAGACGGAAAGCCAATCAGTACAAGAACAATGCATGCATTCGAGAAAAATAATTAATCAGTTAATTTAAAAAAATTAACAAATTAGGATGTTGTAAAATGTAAAAAAAAAAAACCCTTCAGTAAGAAATTCTGTCAATACTCACCAGGTGGATGCATAGCTTGAGCGGCATCACCGAAACCGACATGGAATTGACAATCCTCCTTCAAATTTGTAGCAACCTTACGGAAAGTATCATACTCCGGCTGATCGCGACGATCGAAATAACCTATAATAATACGTTTTCTCGAGTCTAGATTTTCCAAATCTTTCAATGACTTGAACTCCTTGATGGGATCCTCAAGCTGTTTGCGTACAAATTCCAAAAACGCCTCCGCAGAGCGTTGACCACGATATTCACGCTTGCTCAGCTGGCCATTACGTATCACCTTGAGTGTTGGGTATTTGGTTATATGGAAACGAGATGCAATCGAAGTTTCGCGATCACAATCAACTCTTCCCAGTACTACTTTACCTGCTTCAGGAAAAGCCTCTTTCACCTATAATTCATGAAAAATATTGTTGTTGTTATAAATGTGCGATAACACGTGTGTGTGTGTTTTACCTTATCAGCAGCTTCATTGAATATTGGCGCGAGGAGATTACTAAATCGACACCATTCGGCGTAGAAGTTGAGAAAAACCAATTCATTGGAAGCTGTTAACAAGCAAAAATGATGGTTAATTAAGTAAGTCATATGAGTGGTTAGTCATATACATATGTACATACATACATGTGAATATTTACATAAATAAGTTCAAACATAAACCTGCCTATATCTTGGAACAAAATATACGCATAGATAAGTACGTTGTGAATGTACAAGGAAAGAGAAAGTTATTTGTGTAAATTTATGCAAACAAGAAATAATGGAAACGCTTAAAACATTGTACATGTAAGGTGTTAATATTCATAATTTTAGTTGTATTTGGGGGTTTCAATAAATTTATGCATCTTTGAGTTAAACGGATTCATTTAAATATGAACATTTATTTAGTTCTTAACCTTCGCTTCTATAGCTGGGGATTAAGGTGTGTATATATAAAATATATACTATATAACAATGAGGCACTAAGAATTGTAATTTCCTTTATAAATTTCAAAATAAAGTTAACAGCTGTTTCAACTTCAGGTACAACAGAAATAGTATAGAACAATGAACTTCACATTATCTGGCAATTTAGTATTTATTTTAATACACAGAATCGTTTCAATTTAAATGTTCATTATGYAAGTATATGTATGTATGTATGTGCATTTGTGAAACAACGTATGCAACAAATATCTTAATGACATAATAACTACTAATTTTTTACCGTTTTTTAGTATGCATGTACAAATGGATGTACGCATCGGAATATATTTCAACATGCAGTTTTATTATGATTTGACAAACATAAAAAAAGTCTGTCTAATCTATTTCGATAACGACCAAATTGTAATGGTGAATTTGCGGGTAGAATAGTTTTTAGTTGAATGGAAAAAGGTAGAATAGTTTTTTTAAATTTGTACTTAAATACGCACACTTTCACACAGCAAATTGACAACCAATTAAAAAACAATTATAGCGATAACGGTATGACGCATCCAATTTTATATTGAATTCTGAATAAATTGATGCGTTGAAAGTCGTTATTTAAAAATAAAAATTTAGAAATGTTAAGATTATTACTAACCACAATATATCATAATTCTATCATACATAAAATGTTAAGAAACAAACATAACTGCCACTATACGATAAGCTCAATTTTATCTAACTATATTAACTTTACGTTGGTACAAGTCATATGCAAATAAAAAACGGCATTTAACTTCTCGACTTCTTTGCACTTAAATAAAACTTTATGTTCTACAGTGTAGTGAAGAAATTAGCCCCACTTAGGTAAATATTTATTAACAAAAGGTTTGAATATATTTCAGACGACAAATTGAAAATCATACAAATTGTACGAAAAGTACCAACAAAATAATTGAATTAATACTACCAATAACTTGGTTTTACCTTTTGGTCTGAACACTCACACCAATTCTGGTATTGACACGTCAAGAGGAATAAAACAAGCGACGGTGTGATAAACGTGTTGATCTTCCTTTTCTTTACCCAAAATTCCCCAAAATGTTAATGAATAATTTTTACTTACCTAAAGTCATATCAATATTTTCACTATTCATATCCACTGCTCCAGAATCAGTAGGATTATAAAATACGTAAATTACCTAAAATACACAGATGTACATTAATGTTATGAATGAATAAGGAAAACTTTCCAGAAACCAAAGAAATTGATGCGGCAACAAATCGGCTTAAAAGTAATTTGTTAACATATTGACTAATATTACTTACCATAAATATTGCTAAGCAGCGACATTTTCTACTACTCCAAAACTTCATATTGCTACAGTTTTTATTAAATATATATAAATAATTTAAAAAGATTTTKAGAAAGGTTTTTAGATGTGCGTGAAAAAAATCACTAACATACTATATTCACTTCTGTCTCTTTAGTAATTTCTTCTTTTCTTCCTATTGCTTTGTGGTGATATCCGTCAACCGCTGGCAGCAAAACAATGATGCCGACTCTATACAAAGATTTTGAAATTTCTTTTACTAACTAAAATCTCTAATTTAATGTACATATATTTAGAAAATGTAGAAAAATATACTTTTAACTATTAGCATATTTTGCATGTTATTGTAAATTAAAAAATCATAATCTTACATTCTCTGGTTATATTATGAGGGAAATAAACTAACGATGACCCATACTGTGGTTGTGCAAGCACTTAAAAAAAAGTAAACCATAAAATGGGAAAATAATTAGTGTACTTTCAAACGCTAATTGCTTTACAAACTTCAAAAAAAAATTGTTAAATACTAATCCTTTTAATTTTCGGTGAAAAATAATTTGCCTACAAATAGTAATTGTCTAAAAATTAGTAAAAGCTCCGGCATCCCACAAGATTTCTACTTATGCATCAACTTGAAGTTGGCTGTAATTTAAAGTTCTAATACGAAAAATGTAATCCGTGCGAATTTAGTGCGACAAGAGGATTAATATTGTTTTTTCCTTATTAATATTGCTTGTAATAAACGAGTTATAATCGAATAGAAATATTAATTGTGTTTTAAATTAGTAAATCTTCTGAGATTGTTTGTAATTAAACAAATTATTAATTATTCCATGTAATCGCAAGGGAAAGAAAGAATTGGATTTAGTGACAAAGAAAAAAAAGCGGAAGGTAGAAACAAAGGTGGAATAAAAGTGCAAAGGGTAAACAGAAGAATGAAATGAATAGCAAATAAAATGTACTATCCAAAGGCCGAATCAAGACGCATAAAATATAGCAGTGGAGGAAGAAAAATTAAATGAAAATAAATTGTCGATTTTTTTTTATTCATTCGCAGTATCTGTATTATTTTTTTAGAATACACAGTGTTATATTATTGTGCTCATGTATATAATCAATTATTGACACAAGTAAAATAGAATCATAAGATTCCATGTGATTCGGTGAATTCTTAGTGCAATTGCATAAAATAAGCTGCAAAACGTTGACGTCAATATTGAAAAGAAATAAAACACAGCATAATAGAAGTTTTAGACTGATTTGTTGGAAATAAATATTGGGTAAGCTGGCCGTTATGTATTTCTATCAATTATATTTATGAAAGCTGTATGTTTGTGTATTTCGGTTATTTTGCAATAACTTCTAAAATAATTTCTGTAAAGCTTAATTGGACTTTGGACTTGCAATGCCGGCTTAGATTTTTACTGCTACTTAGCACAGCAATAGCCGTTAGACGAGGTGGCCGTTTAATGTGTTATTCCAATAAATATTACTGTTTCCTTGCAATGTGCATATTTCCCGTTTAAATATGTAAATTGCAAAAGTTTAAAACGTACATAAACCATAAACCGTGCGTTGTAGTAGAAAGGATCAACTGCATTAGATAAGAATTGCAAACTTCTGAAGTGCTATGATTGATATGTAAGAATATGTCAAGTTTACCTGAATATAGATTAATACTTTTTATATGGTGAATAAAGCTACTTTATTTTAATTTAAATACTGCATGTTCATATTAAATAATATACATTATATATTTAGAACAAAGTTTTTGGGTACTATACATATGTATGTACATATGAATATATATTTATTTATATTAGTAAAATTTTAATTTAATCTCAATGGCTTACATGCGATTTATTTAATTTAAATATGGTAATACAAATGCAATTTGCAAAAATCCTCTCAACATTATCATACATTTGCTATCTACTTTTCACGAAATTTGCAAAGTCATATTTTACTTTTTCGCTTTCGCTTTTTCTCCGAGTATTAGCTTTTGTATTGTGTTTTTATACCTTTATTCTTATATATCTTTATAGTATATAAAACATCCATACATGTATATATGTATAAAATATATTATATGACACATAAATAATGACTTTGTTTATATTTTTCTTTGTTGCGAAAATTGTTTGCACAGAAGAAATGTAAAATTTGTTTATACGAAATTAAATTGCGCTTTTAATTTTTACCCACTTTATTATTCCTAATTTCTTTGTAGAGCATATAGTTTCATTTTCCTTATTTCTCTATAGTTTCTCAGAACTGACTTAATTATTTAAATGCCAGTTTATGGATACGAAGAAAGCAATGTCAACAAAGAATTCGTAAATTGGCACTGTTGGAACGTAAACATATTTTGCAAGCCTATTATAATATACACCTTTATTCCATACATATAATACATATTTATGAACTTATATGTAGTACATGGGAGTTCGCAAAGTACTAGTACACGTACGATACGTTTCTTGTTATTCGACTGTAAAAATTAATTTAACGCAATTTTACATTTTTATATGTACATATATACCCTTAACAAAATATTTGTTGTATATTTATCCAATGTTGCATTAATATTTTATTAGGTTGTTGAACCCGAACCCCGACCTTGTGTGCGAAGGCAAATAATAAAACACAACTTTTAATGAAATGAGAACTTACATCTCAGCAATTTCCAGTTATAAAAAAATAAAGAAGTCGTTTACATATACATATGTATGTACATTTATGACAAAATATGCCGGGTAAACGAAAATGCTTATGACAACGACGATGATTTCTTTATAATGAATTTGTATTTTGGAGAACCATTCCTTCACCAATCCATATACTTGTATATGTTTGGTATTTCGCTTTCTAAACATTGGGATAACAAGTTGTTTTGTTTTGTACACGAAAGAAACAAATTAAAATATAGCAAAAACTTATATACCAACAAAAATCGTCAGTGTGTAGCTCCTTAAAGTTAACACATTTTTACTTGAGACACTTTTCATACATATGCCGCATTTAATAGATTAACGATAGTATACGTGCATACACATTTTTTTATTTACGTTATCTCCATATGTACGTGTCAATATACATACTATTGTATGTATGTAGTTTTTCGTAATGGTTATTTCAAAATTAATATAAATCAAAGAAAATGCAATTAATGAATTATTGCATATACTTTATTATCTCTTTAGGCATAAAGTTCCGATTTTTAATAAAATATATAAAGAGATTAAGTAATTACTTCCCTATATAGGCAAATTCACTATATGTGACCTGGTCTACGGAAAGGGGGCTTAGGTGTCAAAAAATCAATTTTCACTTTTTAGTTGATTCGGATGGAAAATGAGATGCTTTTTTTTTTTAACAGGTGTTTCCCAGAAAACGTTAGCTCCCTTTTCGTAGATCAGATCACATATATTAATTAGAATGACTTTTCTATAGATTAGTTTTTACTATATCAATAGCATATTTAGTCTTGCTCCCGTGCTAATGCGCCTAAAACTATGCTACAGAGATTTTTATGTATCTGTGGACACTTTTTCGTGAGTATTCCCACTGGGGCTTATGGTACATATATTAGGTTTAATGTCTAAATTTAAAATAACTTCTAACGAAATTCACAATACTAAAGGCAAAATATTATTGGGGTAATCACAATCTGCCTTAAATCGTAAAGTCGTAAAATTTGAAATTTTTACACTTGCTTAAAAAAAATTTGTTATTGGATTACATACAAAAATGAGTTTACACATTTACAATTCTCAATACTACATTGTCGAATCGTTATAACTTATAACTTTAAGAGACATGTGAAAACCCTAATTTTTATTTAAACAAGGCTTTAAGGCAGGTTGTAAACGCCCCATATATTTAAACAGCGCGGGTTAACAGAATCTATAATACCTTTTTTATGTTTCTGCAAACAAACTTATGTCAGTTAGTGTGTTTTTGGTAGCTCTTTGTGATGAAAAGTTTTATTGAAATATTTTATTGAGAGTTTTTATTATTCTAAAGATACATATTTTTACAAATATTTTATGAAATTTTCAAATGAAAATATTTAAAAGTCGGACATTACGGCGTCATTTCCGACAGCAGAACTTCTCATAGGATCATCAAAAGTAAAAAACAAAAGGGAAAAATAAAAAAGTGAAAATCGTATTTTTCCAGACTTTTGGAAAATTTTGTGAAAATTGCTCGACCTTTTTTCCAATAGTTGTAATTGAACAAAAAAATATTCTTCGTTTTAAACCTTGTAAATTATATCTCGAAGGCAGCAGTGATTTTTTAATTAAAATCGATGTTTTTCAAAGTTTGGGTATAAAACAATAATCACACTCGATGTAATTACAATATATTGCATATACATACATATGTATGTATTTTTATTTGTAAGCATCTATGGCGCCGGCTAGTTTTTATGAATTTATAATCTCTGATAATTTGCTTTATCGTTCCGTTTAAATATATTCTGATTTACTCAAATATATGTATGTATGTATAAGATATTTTTATTTTGCCTTTTCCATGTTAATGCGGTGGTTGTAAGTCTTGGCCGTTTGCTATCTCTGTTTGACTTTATACATATCAAATTGAGTTAGTACTTAAGTTGTAGCGGTTACTGTAAGATATCAAATTCTTGGATCTTTAGTCAGCCAATAAATGCTTGCTCATAGAATAAATTTGTTAACCTCAAGGCATGCCCTTTTAGTATAAATATTTTAAATATTTTCCTAAATTGCTTTTTCGCTTAAGTTGACTTCTGTACCTAAGAGTTTTATCAGTGCAAAAGGTGTTCCTACTTTATAGCTGCTTGATCAAATGGAAGAAAACAGTTGACACTTGGCACATTACAATCGACACTCACAATAGTAAAAATAAACGAAATTTATCCGGACGTAAACAAATTAAAAACAAAGCAAAAAGGCCATGCATAATATACATAAAGAACAATAAAAGGCTCGCCAGTTTTTTTTCTATTTTTGTAAATTTATTTTTAGTATCATTATTCTCTTTTTTTCAAGTCGTTAACGCTATGTTAATGTGTTCGTGAGTATTGTTTTCTTTTTTTCATTTGTTTTGATTATTTTATTTGCCAGTAAGAGGGCCCATACACGACACACATGTGCGTTCGATCAGTGTGAATATGTTCCGCCCATACACGACGCACAAATCCATTTTGTGTTCGTTCTTCACACACATGAACATGTGCCACAGGCAAGCGGAATATTTCTTGGAATTTATTTCTAATGTAGCACTTTTATTTATTTCTTTGTATTTCGTTAATATTTTTTTACTTTTATTTTTCTGAATTTGCCGCGCGATTTCTCGTTTTTCATTTTTACGATTTTTTTTAATATTAAAGAAAAACGATTTTTGAAGCCTCTAATGCAGGCTCCCCCTTAACACTTGCCATTCTTCGTTCGCGATCTGCACTGTTCGGCGACTCGAGAGAAATGAGCTTTTGTGCGCATACAACGCCATACACGATACACATGTACGTACACCGATCGTAAAAAATCAAACATTTTCGCGAACATAGTTCGGTACGCACACAAGCCCATACAAGAGTAAACCGCATGCGCACACATACCGATCGAACGCACTTGTGTGTCGTGTATGGGCACTTTAAGCAAATATGTACATATATAATTATAAATTGTATGTATGTTCATATGTTTATGTATATTTTGTCGATCGTGTTCATTTCTTTCCTCACTTTCTTATTTCTTCAATAATTTTAATTTGTTTCTCAGATTTCTCGTGAGTTTTGTTATTTATTTGTATTATTTGCAATCGCTTGTATTCGTTTTTAGTGATAATTGTCACGCGATTACTGATATATATGTTAAAAGAATGCACCTATCAGATAATTTATACCGAGTACAAAACATAAGAAAGAAGATAAAGAGAATTGAATGTAAAAGTGTTTGTTTTTAGAGTATATTTTTAGAGGTATAATTATACAAAAATTGTACTTAAATTTTACAAGGGCCTACGTAGATTTGATTGGAATTCAGTAATAACTTCATGCAGAGCTCGTCTTTGAAAACGTGGCGGTACTTGGCCGGTTAAAAATCCAGGTCCATCGGTAACTTAGCTTAGGCTATTGTAGGAACAGATAATTGTCTGTTTCGGTTGCAATTGTGCAATCATGAGCAGTGAGAAATTATCACATTTTCTAATCCATTCCTAAAGTAATCTACATTGTGTTTGATGTAAAAGTGTAAAACTACATACCTTCTTTTGACTTAAGAATTTTTTCGAT